CATGCTCTTGTGGGGAAAATGGCTCAATTTGAAAAGCTGGGCGTTGTTATGGTGAGTGCCAGCAGTGCCACTGGCCCAACTTGAATTTCATCTTTGATATTGACATTTCAGTACTTGCATGCGATCTCCGTCGTTAACCTTACTGTTGCTACATGTGGCATTTTTGTTTTCTTGCCACTCAAGCCGTCTGTACAGGTTGGCACAGGCGGTATGTAATGTATGTTGGTTTTAAATGAACTGGAAAGTCCGCCAGGCTGGCACAAACCAGAACTGTGCCAGTGTGATATATGCCTGACCACACCATCTAATCAGACAGCAGTTTTTTAATCCTATAGCGGACCAGCCTGCTCAGTTCTGGGAGATCAGGCATTTACACAATTGTTTTACAAACCTTCTGTAAATAACTACTTGCTCATCTGTAGCAGCTGGTTTTGCGACCTGCAAATATTTCATACACTGTGGGTTTTGGTGACTTTAAATTTGTAAATTTAGATTGTTCAGAGGGTTGTTCAGTTAAATTGTTGCATTGTTTATTTTATTCAGTCACAGCTTTCAAGTGCCAGTGCCACCATGGCAACCCGCTCTGTCTCGTCTCCTCCCAGTGTGACTGAGTGCTCAGAGCTGCTTTTGCAGTGTGTGTGTGTGTGTGTGTGTGTGTGTGTGTGTGTGTGTGTGTGTAAAGTTCATGTGTGGTTTGCCTGGTTTTGACTGACTCTGAGTGGTGGGAGTTGCTCTGATCCCCTTTCTATTCCACTTCCCGCTCCATCAGTCCATTGCTCCCCAGCCCCCCAGTGCCCACGCCCCCCAGGCCATATAATCTACTGTATGAGAGGTTCTCCTGCTGCCCAGCCCCCCTCAGCTCTCAGGGTGACCCCCTCACTCCTCCACTTTAGTCCTGTCCCCCCATTGGGAGATTATAGATATTGCAATCTTTAATATGGGCTTTATGCTCAGGGGCCATTATCAGTAATCTGCAGAGGGGAGGGAGTCTGACCTGGTTTTTGTAGCCCACCACTGGACTACCAGACACATTTTCATATACCATCTGTAACATTCTGTCCAGCTTTATCAATCTGCAGTCTACTCGGGATTGTAGCACTTCTTTGAAAGGAAGCTGGAGTTATTAAGGAACCCTCCTGGATGGATGCGATCGCTGCGTCTTTCTTTGATCTGTTGCACTGAGTTTCTTGCCACTCAGCAGTGACACTGTTGATGGCGGTGATTTATTGTGTTAATGTTTTTCCGTGTACATCACACATGGCTTAAAGCCACGCTTCGTCAAAGACGAGGCTTGAACTAAGTCTTAATATTTCGATGGTCAGATATGTTATTTGCTCTCACTCCTTATTGCTTGTGTTTGATTTTAGTGTTCCAGAAGGTCATGTCTGATGGACTTTGTGATTCTCTGCATCAATATCACAAACTTAACAGTCACTGTTCACACAGATGGTTTTGACTCTCACAACTAGGCCTATTTTGGGTATTGTGCTTCGTGTACCTGTGAAAACCTAAGAACGGTGTGAACAACGGGAATATTTCTCTCATAATACTGTTCCCTCAACCTTACAGCATGATTTAATGAGTATTCAAAAATGATGTGACAAAGCCCCTAGTTCAAAAGCATCATTTAGCTGATGCAGCATAATAACCAGATTAAAGAGGTGATGATGAGAAATAATGTGATTATCAATCCAAGTATTGCAACTTCTGTCTGCAGACATTGAAGATATCTGTACCTCTGTCACAGACCATAATCATGTTCTTGTACCCCGAGGGCAGGGAGCAGCTGTGGGTGTTATTACGAAGGTGGAAAATAGCAGGATCACAGGATACTCGAAACCTTTTAGATTTAAAAAAAAAAAAAAAAAACAATTAGTCAATTATGCAATAAGGGAATCCTCGGAAAAACAGCGGCCAAATAATCAAGACATTTTTCTGTTTTGTAGTTGTGGTCTCTGTCATGAGCATTTGCTGCTTTTCTTTATATTACATGATAATATCACATATCATAAATGCATACTGTGTGTTAATCATTTTGTAGTCACATCTCTAGTTTTATTTTTCATGATATTTCTGTCACATTTTGTGCTGAACTGTGAAATAATTGACATATTGTTTTATATATTTGAGTCCTAGACCTTCAAACGTTTATACAAGATGTTTCCAGTAAAGAAGAATCTGATCTGTTTTGAAATCACACCAAAAACAGTTCATGAAATTAACTAATGATCATTAGTAAGGATTAAGAATAAAAGCACAAAGATCATTGTGACCACTGAAAGACCTTAAGGTTTGTCAAAATTAAGATTTTGCGACATTATTAAATGTCAGTGATAACTAATACACTTTAAAATTAATCATTCAGTTAAATTAATCAAAATTTCATATCAATACATTCAAACTTCTAGATTTTACTACTGAGAATTTTAAATAATTTTTGTAATAATTATTGACGTTTTAAAAATTCCACAATTTCAATAAACATAATTTAATAGGCGAGAAATAGAGGAACAATACATGAATTAAATTTTGTAAAAAAAAAAAAACAGTCTTGGTTTAAACAACAACAACTTGTATGCTGACTGGTCATTTCATCCAGTTTGGATCAAAATCTTTGAGTATCTTCCTGGATGTTTAACAGACTTTCTGTGCTGAACTGAACTAACAGGGTGAACATGTAGTGGGGTGATGTGTCTTAGATGATATCATTTAGCAGCAGCGGTGGTTAAAGTCCACATCTGTCCGTCAACAGTGTCCCCCACACCCTTTATCTTCTAATCTTTCCCATTATGACCCCAAATTTAAGACACTTCCCCCCCCCCACACTTACTTTCCTCTTCTCACTCTCCTTTCTCTGCTGGAGCTGTATGTGTTTAATCTGAGTGCCAATGAAGAACATTCCTGTATATATGTGTGTGTGTGTGTGTGCATGTGTGTATGTGTGTGTTAAATATGTCAGGAGATTAAATAGACTTAAATCTCTGCGTCTGGCATAGAAATTCCAATCACATAACCTATCATCGAGTTCCCTTTCTCTCTGTCTTTGTTTGTGTACGTGTCCACTGTACGGAGGTAACAGGCTCCTCCTCCCTCCGATCCATCTAAATCATCACAGGCTTTAGCCCAAATCCCTGGCTTTCTGAATCACATGACTGATGTTTGCAGCTGGACATTTGACATATATTTGTTATGATTACTTTGCAACACATTTGAAGGACATTCCCTCTCTGTCCATTTTATTGTCCATTAAAGTGATGCCGATTGCTTTAAATCAGTTGCGGTGGAAATCCTGTTAGCTCTTATTTGAGTGTTTACACACTGTATACAGAGCATACAACTCATTGTTGACCTCTCACCTCCATCCCGGTCTGATAAGTGATGTTGTGTTGTATGTTTGCCTCTTGCAGTACACAGTGAGGATGTGGGCTCCACCAGGCTGTACTTTGTGAATGCCTCCCTGCAGAGGGTAACCTACTCCAGCTCGGTGGGGGTGTCCCTGCCCTGTCCAGCAGGGGGCACCCCCAGTGCCATACTGCGCTGGTACCTGGCCACCGGCGACGACATCTACGACGTGCCCCACATCCGGCACGTGCACGCCAATGGCACCCTGCAACTGTACCCCTTCTCGCCCTCAGCCTACAACAGCTACATCCACGACAACGACTACTTCTGCACTGCCGAAAACCAAGCTGGCAAGATCCGCAGCCCCAACATCCGCATCAAAGCTGGTGAGTTGGAACCACTGTCAGGAAGGGGAACTGGCCTGAGAGTAAAGCAAGACACACGGATTTGAAAGATTGAGATGAAACAAGGGGGGGGGGGCGGTTATGGATCAAAAGGCCAAAGTTAGACACAACATGATGAGGAATGGAGCAAAAAGGCAAAAAGGGACAGTTGTGAAGGCATAAAGTAGAGCAGATGTGATTGGCAGCTGCAAAAAGCCCTACCCACACACAGAATCACCTGCCCTAAAATAGCCCATCTCGACCTGAACACAGATTGACCTAGAACACAGTCTACAGAGAGAACATCTGCATCACATACTACGCTAGGCCTCGGCCTTCACTCACACCTATTTGACTGAGCTGGTGATGAACCACTGGACTTTATACCGACATAACCCCTTCAGCTGCATCTACAGCATGGCACCATCTGGAAAGATGAAATCCAAAACACAACCCCTGCAGTCCTTAGAGTTAAGTAGCAACTCCAACGTGATTTGTAGATGAACCAGACCATATGAGGAGGAAAAAGGGTGAATGTAGGTTATATGACATGACCAATTCATCCTAATTGACAGTCCTTCACTTCTTAAAAGGTCAGTACAATTAAAGCCAACAGGAACTTCACAGGAATGCTTTTTAAAGCTTAGCAAAGTGAGAAAAGTAATTCATCACCTATAAGCAGATACAGTTCAGTGTCAGTGATGTTATCACCATCTTATACAGCTATGTATGCTATCCTAAAACAAGGGGATTTTAATTCATATACTTTTAATATATATATATATATATATAATTTGATTGTACATACAAAAATATCTCTGGCCTTTTTTCGTTGGGGAAAGAGAAGAAATAATTATTTCAAGCCTCGGATAGCATACAGAATACATTGATAAATAACTAGTAGATATTATAGGCAGTCTATTTTTGGACATTTTGACCAAAAGCTGCCTCTGTTGCCATCATATTCTCTTTTCTGTCCTCCTTCTCCTCCCTGCTTCCTCGTTCTTCAAACTGTCCTCTTGTGCCAGACTAAATATAGCCACAGCACACTTCTTTAATTATCTCTCATTAACAAACCTAATTGGTGCTTTCCATTGATTGGACCGCGGGAGGCTGCTTTAATAAGCGAGACCTCGTCTAAAGTAAAATAGTGCATCTGGGGGTTTGGGTTCGTGCAGCTCCAGAACTAGCAGAAATACTTCACCAAACAGTTAGATCAAACCTCAGCTGGAACAAAGCTACAGCTGGATGTTAGTTACACTGCATCTATTGCCC